ACTCATCATGGCTAGTAGCCATTTATCCTCCATAAAAACAAGTTAAAGAAATACAGCAAACACATTTTTCAGTAGCAGCCAGCTTGTGCTACTGCAGTTCCAGCCAAAAAGGGGTGGTTATTTTTACCCTTAACCTTCATTAAAGGTAAAGGGACCCCTGACCATTAGGTCCAGTCATGACCGACTCTGGGGTTGCGGCGCTCATCTCGCTTTATTGGCCAAGGGAGCCGGCGTACAGCTTCCGGATCATGTGGCCAGCATGACTAAGCCGCTTCTGGCGAACCAGAGCAGCGCACGGAAACACCGTTTAGCTTCCTGCCAGAGCGGTACCTATTTATCTACTTGCACTTTGACGTTCTTTCGAACTGCTAGGTTGGCAGGATCAGGGACTGAGCGACGGGAGCTCACCCCATCACGGGGATTTGAACTGCCAACTTTCTGATTGGCAAGTCCTAGGCTCTGTGGTTTAACTCACAGCACCACCCGCGTCCCCTCATTCAAACAATAAGCCACCATAAAAACTAATTATAGAAATAGCCAATAAGTCAGCCAGCCATAAAAGCAGCAGATACTTGAAAATGAGGGATGAGATAAAGTGGCTTACTGAAATTCTCCACCATAACATAAGAGAAAAAGAACAGTCTGCTCTTTCTGTCAGCAGTTGGCAATCAGAGGCATACTGCCTCCAGCATGGGAGGTAGAACATAGTCATCGGTGCTGCAGCCACTGATCTTACATCTTTCAAAAGCACAGTTTATGCTAGTTGTATACCCTCCAACATTTCTCTGATGAAAATAGGGACGTCTCATTCCATAATGATAATTTTACTATTTAAACCCCACACATCTGACTGGGTTGCCCCAGCAACTCTGGGCAGCTTCCAACATATATAAAAACATAATAAAACATTAAACATTTTTTTAAAAACTTCCATATATAGGATTGTCTTCAGACAGCTCTGGGGTCAGATAACTCCATACCCTTCAACATTTCTCCAATGAAAAGTGGGACATTCCAGGATCAAATCAGAAACTGGGATGGCTTCTCTAAATAAGGGGCGTTCCTGGAAAATAGGGACACTTGGAGAGTCTCTAGTTGAGGCTGAAGGGAATTGTAGTCCAAGGCCTTTGGTTGGCAAGGGCTGGTTTACAGCTTTGCATGGCATGTGAAAGTGGCCACAGAATGAAGAGGTTAACTGACTCGTTTGCAATGAAGTATTGCCCTGTTTGGGTGCCACTACCAAAAAGCCCCTGTTCTTTGTAGTGGTAGACACAGCAGCCCCCAATGCCTGAACATCCTGATCAAAGTATGTGGCCAGGTTCAAACACTACTCTAAGGAAGTCGGAGAAGTGCTTAATTTTCACATCAATCCTGATGCCGCCCCTTCAAAGAACTTCCTTTGTACTCCTGCAAAGCTTCAAAACCCAAACCCAGTGTTAAACGATTCCTTAACATTGAATGAAATCTGATTCTAGCAGACAGCCATGATGTCAGCAACATGTAAGTGCAGAGAATATTTTTTACACTAATGACAACTGAGAACCTTTCTTTCATCCACCCCCCTCCCTTTCATATTGTAGCAGATGTCAACCGTAGTTAGATTCAATTCAACTTATTAGTGCGTGGCTTTAAGCCAACAGCCATTCACATTTCCAGAAGTATACTATCACATATGTCTTAATAAGTGAACCCTGTTTTTAAAAATGTATGTGATAAGTCACATATGCTAGAAGGAATATGGGCATCTTTCACTTGTGGTGACAATGGAAGCGACTAAACAGTGCTGAGCGCAGCTGAAGAAGATTAACATTCAAGGGGAATTTTTGATGATGTTTGAAAATACAACAGAAGTGACAGCATTGGGGGGGGGAGCCTACTTCCCCCACACAAGCTGAGCCTTCATTTCTTTGTCACACACACACACACACACACACACACACACATATTTGTTTTTCTACAAAAGGCGTGTCTTCTAGCATAGCATTTTCCTACTGCTACACTGAAGTAGTAGTTATTACTAACAACAACAATCATCATCATCTTAGGGAAACCTTTGCATGTGCTTTCCAGAATGAAACTCAATAAACTGGCCAGGTATTCTGTGGCACATTCTGGAGTGCACAATTAGTTGTCATGGGATGCTTGGGACATCCTGGGCTAGGGCTTGGAATGCCCTCTTCTGAAAAACTCTGGAGAGTCGCTGCCAGTCAGTGTGAACAACACTGAATTAAGAACACTAAATTAGATGGGCCAATGTTCTGTGAAGCAGCTCCCCATGTTTTAATGGGTTGTATTCAACCCAGTTAGAGTAGACATGCTGAAATCAATGAACGTAAGCCAGTTATGCCCATTGGCCACACCTGCCAATGCTTTTGGCCAGTCTGTCTATGCTAACAGACAGTGTGGAGGGAGGTCAGTAAAGGAAACCGAGCAGACCAATCCTTTTGTTGCCTCAGAATGCAGCAGTACAGTCAAGGAGTGGAAATGGCAAGGAGCAAGATTTCAGGTAAACATTAAGGGAAACTTCCAAGTGCTGGAAAGATTTTCAACAGCAAAGGTGATGGGCTCTCTTTCATTGGAGGTATTTAAGCAGAGAGTGGGGGTCCATATATCAGAGATGCTGTAGTTGCAATCTGCATCATAAATCAGGTATGGTCCTTCAGGAATTGCTGGCTTCCATCCTTGTTGTATACCCTGAACTGGGAAGGAGTTGGACTAAATCTGGTGTCCTTAATGTTACATCCATGGGCACCTCAGACACCCCCCTGTGTCCCTCAAGGTCTCTGGCTCTCTCAATTTTAATTTTTTTTTTTTTAATGGGAAGGGGTCCTGAGCATCACCTTTCCCCCCTCAGAATATTTTGTGGCAACTACAACAGTTTCTTAGATTTCTAAATGTGCCTTTGAATTCAAAACCCCTGGAACAGATGACCCCCAAACACTATAGTCCTATGAATTTAATGTGCTTCACTACGGTATATCATGAAAATGTCTCCAAAGTATAATAAGGGATGAAGGTTGTATTCAATATTAGCCATAGAGCAGATCCACTGAAATCAATGCATAATTATTGTTGGTGCATCAATTCATTTAGTCTACTCTAAGTATAGTTTGGTTCGGCACAGCCTAGGTAGCTAGGTTGGTTACAGCATGATGCCGATAATGCCAAGATTGCAGGTTCAATCTCCATATGGGGTGGCTGCATATTTCTGCATTGTAGGGGGTTCCACTCTACAATTCTAAGATTCTATGAACCCAAAGTAAGGATGCACAACTCAACAAGTGACAACTCTTAGTTTTGGATACAGAAAACACTTTACAGTCCCACAAATCTGATTTAAATTGAAGTTTGGGATAACTGGGGAAGCAAACAACACACATACACAACCTACTGAGAAGCTGACGCACATAATTTCAGTGGTGCGTGCCCACTGAAAACCAGGGGGTTTCCCCAGTGCCAACTCAATCATGACAAAAAGCAGGGAGACTCAGGCAGCAAACTTTCCTCCAAAGAATCATGGGAACTGTAGTTTGTTAAGGATGCTGGGAAAGGTAGCTCTGTGAGGGATTAAACTGCAGTTCTTAGGATTCTTTGGGGGAAACCATGTGCTTTAAATGTATGGTGTGTAGGCAGCCACAATGAAGAGCTGTGTGTAAGCCAGGCTAGGAGAGAGAGGCATTTAGACCCCCTGGTAGAAAGAGCCTCATTAAAGAGGCTTACATTGCACTGTGAGAACTGCAGCTTTAATGGGAAAATAGTAACTTTGCACAGGTGGGTAAACTAATAAAACATATCAAAAATACCAAGCAGAATGTAATTAATATGCCTAATTTGCTCCCATGGGAACTAATTGAAGCAAAACCCAAGGATGCATTCAGAAAATATTTCAAATAGAAAGGCAACAGAGCATAAATAATACATGGAGTTGGGGAGATCAAGTCTGGCTGGTTGGCCGTCCACCTGAATCTTACTCCCTACCGCACCACCTTAAGTCTCACACTTCTGCTGGGTCCATTCACATGATCCAAACCCCACAGAAACCATGACTGTTGTGCACCACCCACTCCTTAAGACACTTCTAGGTACAGTTTGGGAGTAGATGATGCTCAAAGCACCTTCCCTTCTGTGGCTGACAGTATGTTGAAGGTGTGGGGTGGTAGTGGTAATTTTTTTATCAGGACAGTGATATGTGGAGAAATTGCTCATTGCCTTTCCCTGCACACCATGGCTCTTGTCAGACCTCTCTGCAGGTGCTATTTAAAAACCACAGCAGAAACACTGCTATGAACTGAAGTAAGGTGTAGTTTGGCTCCTGCAAATCCTCTGGGAAAAGGATCTTGCTGTCGGGCTTGCATAAACTTACCCTGAGAGGCACCACAGACTTTGTGGGCTCTACATCATTATCAGCAACATTAAACTATGGGGCCTCCAAAGCAATGGAGTAAATACAATCTGAGATGCCTTTGAAGCCAATGTCTGGCAGACTGCTTATCTCATCTTGTAGCTCTTTTCATGCACAATGGGAGCGTTTTCCATATGTATAAGCAACAGGCTAGGAAGGGCCCAGGAACATAGGTGCAAAATGTTATTCCCATGTGTCCTACATACTCTGTGTTATTTCCCCTCTGTCAGACCTTCCCAGAGATTGCAATTAAAAATCATAATCTTTTTAACGTGGGCACACTCCCCCTCAAGGCTAGGAGATCTCTGCACTGAATGTGATTATAATATCATTTAGCAGCTATTCATAGATGACACATATTAATTTATGTAAACCAGGGACAACTTGGAGCCTGTAGCCATTAGCGAGCCATGGAAAATGTAAAACCTGTCCTTGTTGATCAGGGACTTAAAAAAAAAGAGAAAAGGCTATGACTACAGAGTAACCTGAGTCACTATGTTTTTATTGCCCAGGTGTGGGGTTTCCTTTTTTTTTTTTTTTGCTTGAAGTTCATTAAACCTGATTTTTTTCTCTCAAAGGGATATTAAAAATAACTTACTTTACAGGAATGTTTCGAGGCTTTGTCTTCTCTGCAGTCTATAAAAATAGGAAAGTGAAAGAGCCATTAGTTAATTTTAGCAAGAACAGCCTTTTAGAAAGACAGAGGTAAACCCAAGATATTTTCTTAAGACACACACGCACACACACACACACACGCACACACACACCATCATATTTCTGAGAACTGCAAATGAATATGCACAATATTGTACTGGAAGCCTCCATAATTGAGCAGGAAGCACAACAAGAGAAACAACTGTTTATCGCTTTTAATGGGTTAGTGGTGCTGAAGACTGGTAGAAAAATTGCAACACCGCAGAACCTCAGAGAGGCAGATGGTAAAGCGATGGCGTGAATGCTGGGGATCTCACAGTGGTGTAACCTTAATGTGGCCACAAGGACAGAGTGGATGGCGGAGCCCTTTCCAATGCTATTTGCACCCCACTGGGAGGAATGGCGCTAGCTGGCTAACAGAGACGTCTGTAATCACCTTTGCTCCTGTGACCATGGTAATGAATGCAGGACCATAGAGTGCGGTGCTCACCAGAAGCATCTCCCACACAAGCTTGGATTACTTGTGAACTGAGTCTCTCTCAAGATCCTGGCTAATCTGTGTCTGCCAGTCAAGCAATGCACATATTTTAACCAGAAGCTGGGGCAAAGTGCACATAGTGGTGAACTTCTGGAGCTCTGTTATCTGAAAATGGGTCAAACTGACATACGGTTCAGAAGGTTGCATGCATGTGCAGCAGCTGCCAGCACCTTAACACATTTGTTGAAATGGCTAAACCATGTGCAGACATGTAGATTCCTTTGTGCCTAGGCCTGAGAATATGTTTAGGCATTATGTCAAATATAATGAGGTGAGGTGGGCTCAAAACCCCCAGGAATGTGACTTTGCTGTCCTGCTGAGAAGGGGCAGACTTGAATGCAAAGGACAAAGGGGTGTTAAATTCTGTAGAGTGAGGGGGAAAGTCAAAACCAAGACACTTCAAGGCATAGCTATCAACGTTTCCCTTTTTTAAAGGGAAATTCCCTTACTCCAAATAGGATTCCTCGCAAGAAAAGGGAAAAGTTGACAGCTATGCTTCAAGGGGCTTGATTGATACCGTGGCAATTAGGGGTTTGCTTGTTTTTAAATCACCCCAAATCCACAGCTTCTCCTTGAGTTCCTTTACATGGCTAAAATTTGCACAACAAATAGTCAGCCTAGGGGAGCTCGTTCCCACTGGAGGCCACCAACCTGGATGGCTTTAAAAGATGATTGAACAAGTTAATGGAGGATAAGACTATCGGTGGGTACTAGCCATAATAGGTATGCTCTGCCTGCAGCTGTGGAGGCAGTAGTGCTTCTGAATGCTAGTTGCTGGAAACCATAGGAGGGGGAAATGTTCTTGTGCTAAGGTCCTGTGTGAGAGTTTCCTCTGGGCATTTGGGTGGCCCCTGTGAAAGCAGGGTAGTGGACAGGTCATTGGCCATTCTTATGTTCTTATTTTGTATCAAGAATCTAAACATAATGAGCAAGGGCATAAAATGAATAAAACTTTTTTAATCTGGGTCAAAATGGTGTCCACATCTCCATTCACCTTTGGCCAATGGCTTGTGAATGTGTGGATACGCAAGACATTGCTGTGATGGATTTCATGCCTGCATGAGAGAACGGGATTGTGGATTTGTGCTTGTATGAGTTTGACTGTGAACAGAATGACTTAATCACCCTCTCCCTCCTGATTAAATGTTTTTGAATTCCAGTCATCAATACTCTAGAAATTCAGATAAACAGACACACAGTTTAATAGTCTGAAGTTACATATTATTAGCCAACAACACTATATGTGTGTGTGTGGGGGGGGGGGGGGACTAACTGAAAGCCAGTGGGACTCACTTTCAAATAGAAATGCATAGAATTGCACTCTAAGTTTTTTATGCTTTTAAAAATTTAGATTTTATGGTCATCACAAATTGGCACAGATCTAACAAACCAGGAAGTAAATTTGTTTAGAATTATTGCAGCAACTGAGAAATTAACTTCATCTTAGCTACTGTCAGTCTTAAACAATGAGATCAGAAGAATTATATCTATCATGGCAGAATAGATGCTTTCTCCAAAGCTATTTTTTATTAGCCATCAACAGAAAAAGGCAAGATGGGATGACCAAATGTTCAGATCAATTTCCTCCTGTGAAACCTTTAAGAAAACACACTCCAAATCTTCTAAATGAGTAACTATCCAGGCCTCTTGGCCTGCACCGCCTCAGATTCAGAGGCTGGTTCCAGTTTATTGCTGAATCCATTGATCTGTATACAGTCCATTTATCATTCATGAAAAGAGCTGGTGATCTTCACAGTATATTAGAAGAAACAACTCAGATCATCTGTCAACGGCCCTCTTATTTCTGTTTCCCTCTCCGCAGGGATTTCATCTCCATCCATTCTTCTTGAATTAAAATGTTGCTAAGCAACACAGCTGGGGGCACGGATGGCAGAATGGCTAGAGTCTATCAAGCTGTTTAAGCTGTTGGAGATTTTAGCGGTAATGTCGTTCATATGTGTGTGTGTGAGATATATATATATATATATATATATATATATATATATATACACACACACACACACACACACACACACACATATACATATTTCGATGGCATAATCTGCTGCTTCTGAATTTTCTACCTATATAATGTGCCATATGTCTGTGGGCTTCTCAATGTCCCTCTTCTTGTCAACTGCTTTCTCAGTGGAGATGGGAAAAAGCTATCAGGAAGTTGACAGTAGTGATGGGTGTGGGGATGTTTAGGGAGGCAGGAGGGGATATATTATTTTATTATATCCTTCCTAACTTGCACCAGCAAGTTCTATAACTTAGCAGAGTTGTTAAACAATCCCCCTTGAGAGCAGTCATCTCTCTGGTGTTGCAATAAGAGAATTCCACAAGTCCACTTGGAATCATTTCGCAAATGTAGTGGTAAGGTAAAGGTAAAGGTACCCCTGCCCATATGGGTCAGTCTTGCCAGGCCCTAGGGTTGTGCGCTCATCTCACTCTGGAGGCCGGGAGCCAGCGCTGTCCGCAGACACTTCCGGGTCACGTGGCCAGCGTGACAAGCTGCATCTGGCGAGCTAGCGCAGCACACGGAACGCCGTTTACCTTCCCGCTATAAAGCGGTCCCTATTTATCTACTTGCACCCGGGGGTGCTTTCGAACTGCTAGGTTGGCAGGCGCTGGGACCGAATGACGGGAGCGCACCCCGCCGCGGGGATTCGAACCGCCGACCATGCAATCGGCAAGTCCTAGGCGCTGAGGTTTTACCCACAGCGCCACCCGCGTCCCACAATGTAGTGGTACTTTACGCCAATGTATTTCTTTCTTGTGTGGAACTTCTCACTCAGAGATTGCTTCATGCAACTCTGATTGTCCTCTAGCAGCTTAACAGGTACCTTGCTCATCAACCCAAAGTCCTTAATGAGTTGATCCAGCCAGGCAACCTCTCAGCATGCTTCTGTAGCTGCAACATACTCTGCTTCTGTGGAAGATAATGCTACACAGTTCTGTTTATAACTACCCCATGCAACAAGTCCATTCCCTACACACCACAACAGAACTCCATAGCTGAGAGAAAGTTTAGTTCCATCATGGAGATGGCAAGATGCATGTTAAAGAATGCATCCCTGCCACAGAAGCTGTGGGCAGATGCAGCAAACACAGTAGCGTATCTCCAGAACCAAGGGAGCTAAACGCACACCTTTCAAACTTTGGCATGGGAGAATTCCCAACCTGTCACACATATGTGTGTTTGGAAGTCTATGTTACTACCATGTCCCCAAAGCTTGACTCCAGGGCACAAGCAGGTATCCTTGCGGGGTACACCTCTGGAGGCAAGGGATAAAGAATTTTGGACTTACAAACTGGTAAGACGAGTGTGCACCATGCAGTTTATTTTGATGAACACAGCAAAGCTGACACTAAAAATAGTGTCGTAGACTTTTCTGAGGAGCCAGAAAAGGTTCAAGAACGAGAAAGCAATCATTTGAGTTTGTGGAATCTTGTGGCCTCAAGGTGTGTCCACCAAGAGTAAGCACCTCTGATCCCAATGCCAGCAGCCACTTGACAAGTCCCTTTCCCTCTGCCAAAATGTCTGCATATAGGGTCGGCCCTATAAGGTCGGTGAAGGACCTTCCCTACCGTATGTGAAAAAGTTGGCTGAATCAACATTGGCAAGGGGATGGTATCGTCCGCTGCATCTGAGGGTGGCACAGCTCTGTTCTCCAGCAGACTGGAAGCCTTAGGCACATGGAGAGGGGCTACTATTGTTGCTCCCCGCCTGCACAGCATCTACTACATGAGGTGGCCATCTCTGCCTAATGGTAGGGCTGGCTCTGACATGATTGCTTATCCCAAACAAAAACCAAAGGGATGATATAAAAGAGGCAGCAGGTGTAGGCAATGTGGCCACAGATAGTCGGAATGAAGGAAGTGAGCACTACCAGAGGGAAGCTAAGACAAGGCTAGTTGGCAAGGCTAGTTGGAGCCATTTTGAGATGGGAAGGGGGGGGGAATGTGCTGATGTTTAAGGCCATGCATACACATACACCCCAGTTTGGATTATCACCCAGCCTGATTAAAGTTCTGTGGAACTCAAAAGTGTACCCCATATTTTGTGATAGGAACACAGGAAGTTGCCTCCTACTGAGTCACACTGTTAGGGTCCATCTGGATCATGCTGCCTACACTTACTGGTAGAAACTCTGCAGCATTTCACGTATAAGGTATCCTTCCCAGCCCTGGAGATGCTGGGAATTGTGAAAAGCAGATATTCTGTCACTGAGCTACAACTCTGCCCAACTCTGGTTTAATCTATTGGTTAGCTTAATAAATATATTGCCTTAATAAGGGTTTTTGGAGTCTCTGTTAGGGTCCAAAAGATTTCCCTTTCCCTTTTTGTGTCTATTCTCTTCAGTTTTGCTAAGCAGTTTCTTATTGTTACTAGGATAGATTTCATTATTTCTGCTGCTCCTTTATAGGGTCAGGCATTTTA